CCTGACTCATAGCGACCCCTCCTTGGGTTTCCGAGGCAGTATCACTATGGAAGTAGGATTGCCCAACCTTCCTTCCGAGGAGTGGCTGGTGGGTCCTAGTTACTCCATTATTGCTATACTTAAAACTATCATGCTGATTGTCCCCAAATACAATTTCATTGACAGAGAACTGCATTTTTTTGTTACTGCCTAAATATATTCACTGCTAGATACCTACAACTTGTCTTTTAACATTCCCAAATTATAACCTTAAAAGCTTTAATTTCTCAAACCAGTATACTGGAGTGTATACTTGGGGAAGAGTAGACATCTTTGATACTAGAAACACTAGGAACTCTTCATCCAGAAAAGAACATATTCATACACATAATTTTTTAAAAAATACACTCACAAACACAAACAACAATAATAGAAGAAACTTGCAAAAAATTTTTTTCTGACAATTGCAGGAGGGCTAGCAGAATTCCAGAACACTATCCACCATCCCTTCTTGCGAATTAGATGTAAGGTCAATAGCCCATCTCAAATTTTCAGCAGCGTTCCCCCATCATCACAATGATAAAATCCACAATCAATTTTCTTCAACAGTCTTATCTAGATCTTTCATTCTCTTGTCATGGGTCCGCACTCATGATTTCTCCTACATTGAAATGTTCTATTTGATCCCCTCTACTAAGACAGTCGTAGCTTTATTTATAGACTTAACCAAATATTGTTCTTCATAAAAGCTTTTCATAATTACTCTGCTGTCTATATCCCTTAACATCTAAAACACTTAAGAATCTAAATCAGAAAACATAGCACATCACATAAGGATGTCCACTGTTTCCTTTATGTGCTTTTCTTGTGCAAGATGAAAAGCTAATTAAAACCATGTTCATTCCCTTGAGGTTGGAAGCATAAATGGTAGTTACTATAGTTCCATGTTGTTACAGACCCTGGAGGGTAAAATAGACTAAGGGAACAGCCATCTTGACCAAGCTTTAACATTTTTCTGTTCTCTCCTTATAGGCCTTCAGGCCTCCCCACCTGAGTGCACCCACTGCCACATTCCTCATCTTTCTTTGGAGGCCTGGGTGTTCCAACTCCCACATTCTCCTCTGCTTGTAAAGTTAATCTTTCAGGGTAGGTGTGAGGGGTTTGGGAAACCACCCCCCCACACACACCTGGCCCAATTTATATCATTTACCAGAAGAATGACAGAAAGACCACAAGGCAAAGACAATTCATCCCAATAACAAGAAGGAAGAATTATCAGCATTCCTCAAACCCCCTACCTCTTGCCCAATTCCCTTTCAAAAAAACTTAACCTTTTCTCAGCTCAGGAAGACAGTCTTTGGGTGACCCAGTCCCCTTATCTCCTTAGGTATCCATATTCAGTTAAAACCTCTGGCTTTTCACTTCATCCTGTTGTCTAATAACTGGCTCTCCTTGCAGCAAATAGCTAAGGCTGGTTACAATGTGACCTTCAGAGCTCCCCAAAGTTCTGAGGACATTACTCACACACTGTATGTTGCTTATTTGGTGTATTACTTCATACTGTCATTAACTTAACTGCTTCTTTACTACCTTTTTTTTTTTCCAGTTAACTTTCTTCTACAAAGTATCTCATAAAAACAGCAAATCTCACCAATTACAAAGAAATACAATGATCATGCTTCTCATTAAACATTATAATATTGTTGTTGTTACGTGCCATCGAGTCAGACCCGACTCATAGTGACCCCTCCTTGGGTTTCTGAGGCTTTATCACTATGGAAGTAGATTGTCCAACCTTCTTTCTGCGGAGTGACTGGTGGCTTAGAACCACCAGCCTTCTTGTTAGCAGTCAAGTGCCTTAGGCACTATGCCACCAGAGCTCCTTACATTCTAACACAGCACTATGGATCCTAAAACTTAACACATATCACAATCACCTGGGGGCCTTTAAATCTAGGTTGTGTACCTGCTCTCCCCACCCCCTAGTTTCTAATATAGTGGGTATGGGGTGGGCTTGAGAATTGGCATTTCTAACCACTTCCATGGTGATGCTGATGTTTCTAATTAGGGCAACCACACCATAAGAACCATTGTGGTGACAGTTAAAGTACATAAAATGTTTGCTGAATTCTGTTCTTTATTTTTGTCAATCAGAATTATAATTACAAAGGAAAATGGAAGCCAAACCTAAGAAAAATGTATTGAAATATGAAAGGATTTTTCTCTAATTAAAATACATTCATATCTTAAAATCCAAATAAATAATATGCCAGGTTACCTGAGACAAATTTATTTGTAATCTAAAAGTCAATGTATAAGAATTATGAGACAGTAGCAGAAAAACCAGGATAATGGAAATTGAGCTATTTTGTGTGTGTGTGTGTGTATATTTTTACATATATATATATATGTATATGTATATATATGTATATATGTATATGTATATGTATACACACATACACACACACACACATATATATATATATATAACATATCCAGCATTTTTCCCTCTCCTCCCCTTCTACCCCTGGTAAACAACAAAAAATTTCCTTCCATGTACAAACCTTTCCTTGACTTTTTACAATAGTGAACTAATACAATACTTGTCCTTCTGTGATTGACTTACTTCACTCAGCATAATGTCCTCAAAGTTCATCCACGTGATGTGGTGTTTCATGGAGTCTACATTATTCTTTAGTGATACATAATATCCCATCGTGTTTATGTACCACAGTTTGGTTATCCGTTACTCCCTTGATGGGTACTTGGGTTGTTTCCCTCTCTTTGCTATTGTGAATAGTGCTGTGATGAACAGGGGTGTGCATATGTATATCCACATCCTGGCTCTCACTTCTTTAGGATGAATACCTAGTAATAGGATTGCTAGATCAAAAGGTATTCCTATTTCCAACTTTTTATGGTGTCATTTAATAATTTGAATGCAGTATATAAGAGTCCCAATCTCTCCATATCTTTGCCAGCATTTGTTATTTTGTGTTGTTGAACTTTGCTATTAGTGATGGGAAGAGATGGTATTTCACTGTTGTTTCGATTTGCATCTTTCTGGTGGTGTAGTACCTAAGGCATTTGATGGTTAACCAGAAGGCTGGTGGTTCAAACCCACCAGCCACTGGGCAGAAGGAAGATTGGGCAGTCTACTTCCATAGACTATGCCTTGGAAACCTAAGGAGGTATCGCCATGAGGCAAATCAATTCAATGGCAGTGAGTTTTTTTTTTTTTTTGTAATGGGTAAAGATTGCAAACCTTTCTTCATGTGTTTTTTAGCCACTTACATATCTTCATTGGTAAAGTGTCTGTTCATTTCTTCTGCTCATTTTTAATTGGATTCTTTGTCTTTTTGATGTTGAGATGTTGGAGATGTCTACAAATTTTAGAGATAAGTCCCTTATGAGATATGTCACTGACAAATATTTATTTCCAATCTGTAGGTTCTCTTTTTACTCTTTTGGAGAAGTCTTTTGCTGCATATAAGGATTTAGTCCCAATCATCTTGTTTATTTTCTGCTGTTTGTGCATTTTGGGTTATGCTTGAAAATCTATTTATGTCATAAATTAGGGCCCCTAAGTTTGCCCCGGGAGCTCTGGTTGCATAGCGCCTAAGGGACTTGACTGCTAACCAGAAGGCTGGCAGTTCAAAACCACCAGCCACTCCTCGGAAGGAAGGTTGGGCAATCTACTTCCGTAGTGACACTGAAACCGAGTAAAGTGTTCCCCAAGAATGTGTAACAGTATCTATTCTAAGGGGGAATTGAAACCGAGTAAAGTAAAAACTATTTCCCCACCCTGGTACCCGGATGGGAATAGATAAGTAAACTAAATTACCCCCCAACTATTTCCCCACCCTGACAGATGAGTATTCAGTTCCTTAAAGAACTAAATGGAAAACATTCTTTCCTGCAGGCGATAGACATGCTAAAAGTGTCTTAGAAACAACTTATAAATTAACTCTGGCCCACAGACATACACAATAGGGGAGAAAGGAAGTGTTTTAGAAACAACTTGTAAATTAACAATGGCCCCCGGACATGCACAATAAGGCAGAAAGGAACAAAAGTTAATGAGGGACCCTCTCCCCTCTGCCCATATAAAATTGGTGATTGCTTTTTCCATGTCTTTAAAGAACGGTGATGGAATCTGGATTGGAATTGCATTGAATGTATAGATTGTTTTGGGTAGTGTGATAGTTAAGGTTATAAGTCAACTTGACTGGGCCTGGTTTTGAGTGGCTGGGCAGCTGGATGTTGTTATTCCTCATGATGAGTCTGGTAATCACCTCCATGGTGGAGTCTGCTGTGAGCAGCTGAGTAGCTGCCTTAGGGATGTTGTCTGCTTTTTGGCATGCTTGGACCGTGCATTTAGTCGAATCTTCATTCAGCAGCCTGCCATGTTGCCTGCTGATCTTGGTACTGTTTTTGGACTTGAACTGGTGGCCTGCTGTGTTGCTTAATAATCTTGGGACTATGCCATTTTACTTGTTGACCTTGGGTTTGTCAGCCTCAGCAGCCAGTAACTGCCTAAGTTAAGAGACACCTCCAGCTTCAGTGGGCTGGGAGCATGAGGCAGAGCATGAG